GGTTGTTAACCAATGTCATAAAACAACATGTGTACCTTCTGCTTCATGAGAAACTATTTGTTCTGTAAGCCTTCACCTGAAGTACAATAAAATAAATAAATAAATAAAAAAGAAAAAAACAAAAAAGAGCCTTGGTTCCAGTGAATGGAGCCCCATTCCCTCTGCCAAGGACTGGCTTAGCCATGGGCACCTGGTGCAATTCAGGCTAATGTAATATCAGAGGAATTCCACTGGGGGCTCCTGGGAAAGTTCTCCTTGCTGATAAACAAATCTACATGTGACACAGGGATCTTGTGTACAGTGATTTTGTAACTATGAGGACAGTGGGCCTGAAGATACACTGACATACTGAGAATGGCAGGCTGGAAAGTTGAGAGAAACCTGGGTCCCTGAGGACGTCAGTGAGCTGCTGAATTAATTAGCCCTTGTGTTGCATCTTGACTTCCTGTTTTGTGAAATGAACTTGCCGCAGAAAGAATCCTAACTAACAACCTCCCATCAATTAAATGTATTAATAACAATAACAACAATAATAGCATGTTTTTATTATCTGCCAGGAACACTGCTAAGCACTCTACAGACATTATCTCCTTTAATCCTCTTTGATAATTCTATGTGCAAATATTATGATCCTCAACCAGGACTCACAAACATTCAAAAATGTGCCCAAGCTAGCAAGTAGAGAGCTAGGATTTGCCCCCAGGCTGCCGAACTAAGTTATGCTCTTCATTATATTGCATGGCCCCAAACCTCAGTTCTCTCTCTTCACATCCTCTGGACACACATTAACACCACAACACTTTAATTATCTGCTCCCTTACTGTACAGATCTGAGGCCCACAGAGACTTAAAAAAAATGTCAAAGGGAACAAAGCAAATCAGGAATAGAGCCAGGGCTAGAAGAACCCAAGTCTCTGGTTCTTAGAAGGATACCCTTTCCACAAGAGTTGTAGTCGACTACATCCAATGAGTGGCCTGAACCACCAGGGCAAGCCCCTCAGCTTCCCAGTTACCGTAGAACAATAAAAGGCTGCTCCAGGAAGAACGGCACTCACCAGCTGGGCTGACTTCTGCTTCTCCCGGTCATTGCTGCTTCCCTCACATTGAAGGGACACATTCAGGTGCTTGGTGGCTGCCTCTCTTTCCCTCTTGGCCAGCTGAAAGATTTCATCCTGGATTATGGCCTGCTCCTGTTCATACCTGTGCCAGAAGAGAAAGGGGGAGAAGCAGATGCAGATAGCATGGCTGGCAGAACGTAGCCAGGAAAAGGTTTACCTGCTCACTTCAGCTGGCAGAAGGGGCTAGTATCTGGGAGCCGGCAGAGTTCTGCGGCCGACCAGGGAAGGACAGGGTGCTGTGAAACTTGAGCCAGATGCCACCAAGGAGAAAGATCAGTCCTCTTTCAACCGCATAGCACCCCCCACCCCAATGTTGCACCCCCTCTGAAGTTAGGCATCAACAACAGTCCTAAGGCAAGAGAATACAGTCACACTTACTCAGCCAGAACAATCCAGAATTAGGAACAGCAGGAGTCCTAGCCACCAGGCAGTCACATGTCAAATGAGAGACTTTCAGGATTCGGTGCTGTGCTAGCTGCTCCTTCAACCTGGGTAGGCAGGTGGGAAACCTTGTCCTCCCCTTGACAGCGTAAAGGTTTTATATAGCAGCAGTCCTTTGTTTTGAACATTTAACTCTTCATCCTAAATATGTTCCTACCCTTTGACCTTTTCTGGGCCTTCTGCCTAATAAAATGATGCTACACAGAGAAAAAAGTTATTAGCACTAAGATGCTCTTAGCAGTATTAATCATCATAGTGAAAAAAAAATGCAAGCAACCTTAACTTCCAACATCACGGATAGGTTCAAGAAAGTATGACACAATCGTACAGTGGTATTTTATGTAGCCATTATAAAACAGATCCTTTGATTTGTCTACGGGTTGAATCCAAATATTGAGAAGTAATAAACAATACCAATAAAAATGTTTACAAGGCAGTGTGAAAAATGGAAAATACTTATAATACTAAGTGAAAACAGCAAGATATAAAATTGCATGTGCAGTGTGATGACAAGTGTGTTTTTAAAAAATAACCCTCAGTCAGGGGAAAGGATAGATTTCAAAGAGATGCTCCAAAATATTAAGAGTGGTTGTCATAAGATGTTGAGTCTATCAGTGATTTTTTATTTCATATATTTTCTAACTCTTTCATTAGTATATAATTACCTTAACATTTTTTAAACGTTTAAAAGTGCAAAAGAAAAAAATGTCCATGTTAGTTATCTTGGACAGGCCTGTTAGGTTAAGGGAGGGTAAATGCTCAGAATGTGGGTCTTAAGTCATGGCTATGGGATAGGCCCAGCACAGCCAACCTACTGGAGGGACCAAGACCAAACCAAGCTGGCCCTAGGACTCCTCACCTAACTCATTTGATCATTTGACAATACGTTGATGCTGTTGTTAGGTGCCCTCAAGTCAGTTCCCACTCATAGCGACCCCATGTAGAACAATGAAACACTGCCCGGTCCTGTGCCATCCTCACAATCCTTGCTATGTTTGAGCCCACTGTTGCAGGCACTGAATCAATCCATCTCTTTGAGGGTCTTTCTCTTTTTCACTGACCCTCTACTTAGTAAGCATGATGTCCTTCTCCAGGGACTGGTCCTCCTGATAACATGTTCAAAGTATGTGAGACGAAGTCCTGCCATACTCTCTTCTAACGAGCATTCTGGCTGTACTTCCCTCAGGACAGATTTGTTCCTTCTTTAGGCAGTCCATGGTATATTCAAAATTCTTCATCCACACCATAATTTAAAGGCATCAATTCTTCCTCATTCTTCCTTATTCTTTGTCCAGGTTTCACATGCATATGAGGTGACTGAAAATACCATGGCTTAGGCAGGCGCGCTTCAGTTTTCAAAGTGACATCTTTGCTTTTTAACACTTTAAAAAGGTCTTTTGCAGCAGATCTGCCCAATGCAATACATCATTCGATTTCCTGACTGCTGCTTCCACAGGCGTTGATTGTGGATCCAAGTAAAATGAAATCCTTGACAACTTCAATCTTTTCTCTGTTTATCTTGATGTTGCCTACTGGTCCAGTTGTGAGGATTTTTGTTTTCTTTATGTTAAGTGTTAATCCATACTGAAGGCTACAGTCTTTGATCTTCATCAGTAAGTGCTTCAAGTCCTCTTCACTTTCAGCAAAGTTGTGTCATCCACATACAGCAGGTTAACAAATCTTCCTCCAATCCTGATGCTGCATTCTTCATATGGTCCAGCTTCTCAGATTTTTTGCTCAGCATGCAGATTGAGTTAAGTATGGTGAAAGGTTACAACCCTGACACACACCTTTCCTGACTTTAAACCATGCAGTATCCCCCTGTCCTGTTCAAACAACTGCCTCTCTTGGTCTATGTACAGGTTCCAGATGAGTGCAATTAAGTGTTCTCGAATTCCCATCGTTCACAGTGTTATCCATAATTTTTTATGATCCACAGTTGAATGCCTTTGCATAGTCAATAAAACACAGTAAATATCCTTCTGGTATTCTCTGCTTTCAGCCAAGATACATCTGACATCACCAATGATATTCCTCGTTCCACATCCTCCTCTGAATCCAGCTTGAATTTCTGGCAGTTCCCTGTCAATGTACTGCTACAACTGTTTTTTAATTATCTTCAGCATAATTTTACGTGCATGTGATATTACTGATATTATTCAATAATTTCTGCATTCCTTTGGGTCACCCTTCTTTGGAACAGGCACAAATATGGATCTCTTCCAGTCAGTTGGCCAGGTAACTGTCTTCCAAATTTCTTGGCATAGCCGAGTGAGCGCTTCCAGTGTTGCATCATTTGTTGAAACATCTCAATTGGTATTCCATCAATTCCTGCGCCTTGTTTTTAGCCATTGCCTTCAGTGCAGCTTGGACTTCTTCCTTCAGTACCATTCATTGGTTCTTGAACCTATGCTACCTCCTGAAATAGCTGAATGTCGACCAATTCTTTTTGGTACAGTGACTCTGTGTATTCCTTCCATCTTATTTTCATGCTTCTTGCATCATTCAATTTTTTGCCCATAGAATCCTTCAAAACTGAAACTCGAGGCTTGAATTTTTTCTTTAGTTCTTTCAGCTTGAGAAATGCTGCATGAGTTCTTTTCTTTTGGTTTTCTAACTCCAGGTCTTTGCACATTTCATTATAATACTTTACTTTGTCTCCTCAAGCTACCCTTTGAAATCTTCTGTTCAGCTTTCCTACTTTATCAATTCTTCCTTTTGCTTTAGCTACTCCGCATTCAAGAGCAAGTCTCAGAGTCTCTTCTGACATCTGTTTTGGTCTTTTCTTTCTTTCCTGTCTTTTTAATGACCTGTTGCTTTTCTTCATGTATGATGTCCTTGATGTCATCCCACAACTTGTCTGGTCTTCAGTCAGTCGTGTTCAACATGTCCAATCTATTCTTGAGATGGTCTCTAAATTCAAGTTGGATATACTCAAGGTCCTACTTTGGCTCTTGGGGGCTTGTTTTAATTTTCTTCAGCTTCAACTTGAACTTGCATACAAGCAACTGATGGTCTGTTCCACAACTGGCCCCTGGCCTTGTTCTGACCGAGGACATTGAGCTTCTCCATTGTCTCTTTCCACAGATGTAGTTAATTTGATTCCTGTGTATTCCATCTGGCAAGGTCCATGTGTATCGTCACCATTTATGTTGTTGAAAAAAGGTATTTGCAATGAAGAAGTCTTTGATCTTACAAAATTCTACCATGCAGTCTCCGGCGTCATTTCTATCACCAAGGCCATATTTTCCAACCTACTGATCCTTTTTCTTTGTTTCCAACTTTCGAATTCCAATCACCAGTAATTATCAATGCATCTTGACCGCATGTTTGATCCATTTGAGACTGCAGAAGGTGGTAAAAATCTTCAATTTCTTCATCTTTGGCCTCAATGATTGCTGTGTAAATCTGCATAATAGTCATATTAACTGGTATTCCTTGTAGGCATGTGGATATTATCCTATCACTGACAGCACTGTACTTCAGGATAGATCTTGAAATGTTCTTTTTGACAATGAATGCAACGCCATTCCTCTTCAATTCATCATTCCTGGCACAGTAGACCATATGATTGTCTGAATCAAAATGGCCAATACTAGTCCATTTCAGCGCACTGATGCCTAGGATATCCATCTTTGTGTGTTCCATTTCATTTTTGACAACTTCCAATTTTCCTTGATTCATACTTCGTACACTCCAGGTTCCAATTATTAATGGATGTTTGCAGCTGTTTCTCCTCATTTTGAGTTGTGCCACATCAGCAAATGAAAGTCCTGAAAGCTTGGCTCCATCCACATCATTAAGGTCAACTCTACTTTGAGGAGGCAGCTCTTCCCCAGTCGTATTTTGAGTGCCTTCCAACCTGAGGGGCTCATCTTCTGACACTATATCAGACAATGTTCCACTGCTATCCATAAGGTTCTCACTGGCCAATTTTTTCGGAAATAGATCGCCACGTCCTTCTTTCCAGTCTGTCTTAGTCTGGAAGCTCCAGTGAAATCTGTTCACCCTGTGTGACCCTGCTGGTATTTGAAATACCGGTGGTATAGCTTCCATCATCACAGCAAAACGTAAGCCAACACAGTACTACAAATTGACAGGCGAGGGTGGATTTCACCATATAGAGGTGAATTTTCTTCAGGGTGTTGAAGAAATCAGTCAACAATGACAACTACAGTTAACATACACTAAGAACTTCTTAGGTGCTTGGCACTGTGCTTACATGCTTTATATGCATGAACATATTTAATCATGACAATACCATCCCAATGAAAGAGTTACTCAAATTATTGTCTCCTTACACACTTAGAGAGATGAAGTAATTGTCCAGAGTCACAGAATTGGCACATCACCAAATCAGGATACAAACCTGCATCGATGACAGTGTCTGTGCCTTCCACCACTCTTCTACAAGGTCTCACAGAAGAGAAATAGGTCCTATCTCAGACGTGTAGCCAGCTCTCTGGGGCTGTGTCCCATGCTGATGGGAAGTCTCCAGCAGCCTCAAGTCAGTTAATCTAGCCAACTACAGTTAAAACTGTGAGGGCTCACTCTTCATATCTCTAAAGGTATGCATGCATGCACACACATACACACATAGAAGGTCCAGTCACTCAATTGTTTTATTCTAGTTTTTTAAATTAATTTTTAATAATATTATCATCCAACTCCCCCATCCTCTTTGGGTGTTTCTTCATCTTTAAACTAGGAACAGTGCTACCTATACCAGAGGGCTGTCATGAGACTCAAATAAAGTAAAATATGTAAGGACATACCCCTAAGACCTCCATACAAGGGGAGGGCATTTGATGAGGAAAGGGGAGCTAAGACAGAGTGCAGGGCCTAGGATGAATGGGAGGAACTTGATCTCACCTTCTGAGTAGATCTTCCTTTGCCCCTGAGGGCTGCTGTGCCCTACTCTTCTCCGATCTTGGTGGTTTGGATTCTGCAAAGGCAAGAGAAGAAAAGGCCTGTCAACAGCATCCCAGGATCAGCGACAGCTTAGCAGCAGTTATTCAGGGAAAGGGGCTCAACATGGAACACCCTCTTGATCCAACCAGTCTGAAGAGTCTGATGTGCCTATCACAAAGACCCCCTCCCTCACATGGTCTCTCTGCCAGGAGGACTGCTTATTGTGTGTGGCTGGCAGCAGGCAGCGCTGTTCCAAATCAATCCTTACTCACTCTACCACTATTTGGAATCCAGGTCATCTAAGCATAGGCCAGGAACGACTGAAGGAAGCCATGCTATGCTTCACAGGAGTGTGGTTTTGGCATGGGGTTGGGGAGGGCTCCTTAGACCTTGTTCCCCTTAGTACCTCAGAAACCCTGGTGGCATAGTGGTTAAAAGCTACGGCTGCTAACCAAAAGGTCAGCAGTTCAAATCCACCAGGCACTCCTTGGAAACCCTATGGGGCAGTTCTACTCTGTCCTATAGGGTCACTATGAGTTGGAATCCACTTGATGGCAATGGGTTTTTTTTTTTTTTTTAGTACCCCATTCTATAGATTTCCGATCCTAAATGTGGCAAACACCCCATTATAAACCTAATTCTACTTAAACCTATATCACTTCTAGTGTTATTGAGCTCTTTAAGTTGTTACAGTAGGTCTACCTTCTGAATGTCATAAATTGGGGAATTTCTGAGCAAATCCAATTCACTCTCTCCACCACTTGGTGGTACTGAAGGTTTTGTTACTACCCTACCCCTCACCTAGCTTTCATCCTTCAAAAGTATCTTTCAGCCAAAGCTCACTCAACACCTTTCTGTGGCCTTCTCCGAATTTTCTACATCCCCATCATAGGTTTCTAAAGCAGCAGCAACTACAACTGCACAAAGCAACACAAAAGAAACAGGTTTTGTGAAAGAATATGAGATTTGGTATCCACTCCCAAGACCTTTTAAGGAATGCTGAACTCAGAGGCCCAGGCACTCAACCCTTCCGGGAGGCACTTCCAGAACTAATCATCTTATGATTCCCACTTTCAAACCACCTCTTCCAGAAGGAATGGGAATGGTGGTTCTCTGGCCTGTGAGGGAAGAACACTTGACATGGTCCTTAGTAACACTGCCAGGGTCTCAACTGTGAATACAAAAATATTATACTGCCAGGTTTCTATTTCAACATTAATGCTTCCCATCCTTATTTATTTGCTTGTAACAGCTTTACTGAGGTATAATTTATCCTATTTATTTTCATTTTTATATAATTTTCCTTCTTTATACCTACAAAAATAATATGTATCCACTGCAGAAATTATGGCACTCATCTACACCCCTGCAGTGAACAAGTCCTCCACTTCCCTGCTCCCTCATGCCATACCTTGTTCAATGTGCATTTCTTTATTAGTGAAGTTGAGAATCTTTTCATATGTTTATGACCATTTATACACATTTTCTACTGCGCTTTCTTAAAGATCTTTAAGAACTCTTTACATATTAAGGCTACTAACACTTTGTAATGTTATATTTTCCCTAGCTTATCAATCTTTCCCTATTTACTATTTCTAAATTGTCTCTAATTTCTTATAGTCATATTTTCCACTTTTTTTCTTAAGGTTTCTTCATTTGATGTTGTGCTTAGAAAGTCTGCTTTTTATTGTACTTTTATGGCTTCATGGCTTACATTTAAATCTTTTCATTTCTCTGACATTTATTTCAGGGTATGCTGTGAGATAAGAATTTAATTTCAACTTGTTTTTCTAACCTTATCCTTGTCACTAAATTAAAGCAAAAACTGATCTTTTAAAGAAAAATCTTAGTCAACTTCAAGACATACCACTTATACTGACTATTCTTCAACACTCAACACTTACACCGTCATTAAAATAGCAAAATATTTTGTTATAACTAAAACCAAATGAGAAACTCCTATTCTTGCTTTTTAAACTGCTAAAACTTGCCAAAACTGAAACTGATGTGTGTATATTTCAGCAATTTTAGCTTTTTTCATCACTTTCTCCCTCTAAGCAGTTAATCCAGTTTATTGAAGTATACTGGGTAAAGTTTAACCCCTCTTCAACCACTCTCATCTGCAGGCTAGAAATTTGGGGGGAGTTAGCCCTATTTGGTAAAGAACAATGGCATCTAGCGTGGGTTTCAAAAATCTCACCTGTGCCCCTTCACTGGTAAATATTCAAAAAGATCTCAGGGTCTAAAAACAAGTATTTGTTTGCTCAGATGCGTGTGGGAAGCCTTGAAGTAGGCAATACAAGGGGTTAGAACCGTGGTGCCCTGTGGCCTTGAGGCTAAAGCCTGAGCTCTCTGGCCACTGTGTCAAGGTCTCCATGATCTGGCCCCTGACACCTCATCTGCACCTCCCCTTCCCCTGTACTTTGTACTCCAGAGATAGCAAACTGCTTCGAGGGCCCTGTGATGGTTAAGGTTGTGTATCAACTTGGCTGGGACATGATTCTCAGTGGTTTGGCAGTCTTATGATGTTGAGACCACCACCGTGATGGGATCTGCTGTGAGCAGCCAACCAGTTGAAAGGGAGTTTCCTTGGGCGTGTGGCCTGCATCGAATATAAGTGGACATTCTGGCAAGGCACGGGGACTTTCTGTTCGTGCTAGATCCTGCAGCTGGCTCCTGTTCTTCTGACCTCCAGTTCTTGGGACATGAGCTAGTAGCTTACCTGTGGTTTTGCCTGCTGATCTTGGGATTCATTGATCTTTGCAGCCTGTGAGCAAGAGCCCTGCTCTCTGATCTGCCGATCTTGGGTCCATCAGCCCCTGCAGCTACATGAATCAGGAGAAGCCTCTATCCTGACCCATGGACTTGGGACATTCCAGCCTCTACAACCACATGAGCCATTTCTTTGATATATATATTTATACACTTTACTAGTTTTCCTTCTCTAGAGAACCCACCCTAAGACAGGCCCCAAACAGGCCAGTCTGCACCACGCCCATGCCTCTGTTCAAGCTGTTCACCATGCCTAAGATGCCGTCTCCCACTGTTCTGTTCTTCAACAGCCAGCTCAAATGTCACCTCCATAGAAGGCTCTCCCTAAAATAATCAGTCACTCCCTCCTCTATGCTACTGTGGACCCTAGGCTTGCTTCCAGTGTTGCATTATCACATGACACCACTATCTAGTGGGTTATACATCTGGCCCCTTTACAAAAGCTGTGCATACCATAAGACAGGGATCCGTATCTGATCTATTATCGTGTCCTAGCACAAGGCATGGGACTAGATTCCTGGTTAGCATTCAGCAAATGCTGAATGAACAGGTTGTAGCTCTTGCTTCCTAGACTCTTACAACCTAGTAGAGAAGAGCAGTATAAAAGACAACTCTAGTGCAAGGTCATGCATGAGATGAATACTGTGGGATGGAGTTTATCATCAGTAGTGGCATGGCTCCTCTAACAAATCAATTTTTAAAAATCAGGTTACAGATGACACATAAGGCCTAAATTCTCATACAGAAGTATTTATTGAGTAGAACAAGCAGTTGGTTCAAGAACTTTTTAATTCTGCAATATCTTAATATTTTTGTACCTTACATCCTCCTTTCTTTCTTTGTTACTTTGTGTTTACTAAAAGTAGTTATTTGGGAAAAAACTGCAAATGTCTTTATTTGTAATGAGCAGATAGGGTAGGTGGCAAATTAGCTTTCAGTCTGGCTTGGGCGCCAGCTCCAGAGTGGGCTAGGAATTCCCAGGAGGTACAGGGTGAGGGATCCACTCCTCGGAAGCTGTCGTGGATTGAATTATGTCCCCCAAAAAATGTGTGTATCAATTTGGCCGGGCCATGATTCCTGGTATTCTGTGGTTTTCCTATAAATTGTAAATCCTGTCTCTATGATGTTAATGAGGGAGGATGGGCGGCAGTTGTGTTAGTAAGGAAGGACTCAGTCTACAAGATTGGATTGTATCCTGAGGCAATGTCTTGAGATATAAAAGACAGAAGTGACCAGTGAGACAGGGGGACCTCATACCATCAAGAAAGCAGTGCCAGGAGCAGAGTGCGTCCTTTGGACTGGGGTCCCTGCGCAGAGAAGCTCCTAGTCCAGGGGAACACCGAAGAGAAGAAGGCCAACAGAGAGAGAAAGACTTCCCCTGGAGCTGACCCCCTGAATTTGGACTTTTAGCCTACTGTGACTGTGAGGAAATAAACTTCTCTTCGTTAAAACCATCCACTTGTGGTATTTCTGTTATAGCGGCACTAGATGACTAAGACAGAAGCCAAGGGCAAACCACCCCAGAAGCCAGGCCAGGACCACTGAAGGTTTGAGTTAGAGATGTAGAGGTTGGCACCAAAGTTGTTGACTCAATTCCTACTTATTTGGCCAATTCATGTAAATCCCTCTAATGCCTTGGACTACACCAGAGCAAAAAGTAATGGTTATGCTTTTTCTAACGGTTCTTAAAAGCAACTTCTTACCTGAGTTGTCAAACCAAGCCCTTCTGCCTCATTTTTTGCATATGGAGAAACTGAACAGAGTGAGAGAAACAGTCTGGCCAAAATCACATAAGCTTTGACTAAAGCATGCTGCTTTCATTGCTCCTGACAGCATCTGTCAAGCACAGAAAGTCACGCTCCCCTGGAAAGCGTTATCAGAAAGGAGTTGCTCACTTCACTCAGAAATAAACTGGAGCTACATTAGCAGTTAAATATATTCTGACAAGTATGTTGTTTTCCATTCCTTTCACCCTCTCTTCCCCCACAGAAGAACCCCTCTCCACAGAATCATTGCAATCCACCATACCTTTCTCAGGGGCTTTAGCTTTGCCTTCTGGAGAATTAAATGCAGAAGATGGAGGTGGAGTACTAGGTGGAGGGGTTGGCTGCTCCACTTTTGAAGGCTGACTGGAATCCTTCATACGGTTAACCACATTATCTGACAGCTATGGGAAGAAGTCAGGGATGGGAAAAAGGGGCAGATCAGAACCTCTGGAAATTAAGACTCCCCTTTACTCATGCCGCAGGTTTATTGAACACACTGTCTCCTCAAGACCAACGCCAATACAATTCCACTCAAAAACCTCTCATGGTGGCCCAGTGCATACCAGATAAATGCCAAACTCTGGAATTCCATGCTTACCACATGTTCTCTGCTGGCTTTTCAACTTCATCCCTTCCTACTCTCTTACATATACCCTGGACTCAGTAGACCATTGAGTTCTTACTTTTCTCACCTCCTCTAAATTCCCACATGTGGTCCCCTCTGCCGAGAACCACCACCAGCCCCCTCCACGCCACCTCAATGCATCTCCGCCTGTCCCAATCTTACCCTTCTTTTTAAGAGCTTCTCAGTGCACCTTTCTCTGAAATCTTCACTGAGAGCATCCAAGTACCATTTCTCCCCTTCTTTCAAACTCTTATTAGCATATGTATGCCTTTTGGGGAAGTACTATACTTCCTACATGCTTTATCCTAATGGCTTGTAAAAACCTCAAAGGCTGGAGCTGCATCTCATTCATCCCTACACCCTCCAGTGCCACATATATAGTAATCAAAATATTGCTTGATTCACTTAACCTTAGTTCCCCCTAACGAAGACTGGATAACCAAAACTTTTATTCATTTTAGAGAAAGTGAAATAGGCATGAGGGTGTCATAAGACAATTTACTAAGATGAAATAGCAAGCTAGGGATAAATCCAGAATAAAAGCTCTTCAGAGTTCCGCAAATATTTATTAAGTGTCTAATACGTGCAAGTCATCATAAAGCATGGTTTAGGGGAAGTGATTGAAAATTACTTTAAGACAAAAAACTTTATCAGCAATTCCATTTCTAGTTATCTAGCCAAGAAAAATACTCGCACACATATACAGAAGCATGCAAGGATGTTCACCACGGCATTGTTGGAAATAGCAAAAAAAAAAAAAAAAAAAAGGTAACAGAATAGACATCCAACAATAGAGAACTGGTTAAAGAAATCATGGTATATCCAGTCTATGAAATATTATGCAACCATTAAGAAGAATGAGGAAAGACATGTATACACTGACATGAAAGAACATATGGGATACACTGATTTTAAGTCATAGAATGCTTATTTCAATTCTGTAAAAAGATATACACAATTATAAAGATGCTAACATACAAATATAAATATCTGAATATGCATTTTAATTTGCACGTGTATGGACATACCCTTGTTGATATATACATGTGTTCCGAGATGAAGGTCTACATGGCTATATACCAAAGTGTTTGCAACAGTTATCCCCTGTAAGTGGAGGCAGAGAACATGGGATAAAGACTTTCACTTCTTTTTTTTTTTTTAATCGTGTTTTCGGTAAAGGTTTACAAAGCCGTTTAGGTTGATTCAACAATTTCTCCACAAATTGTTTAGTGACACTGGTTATACTCTTCACAATTCACGAATATTCTCATTATTTCCGTTCTGTTGGATCTGTTTACATTAATACAGTTTCCCTGACCCCTTACCTTCTCATCTTTGTTTTAAAGTAATTGTTGGCTGTTTGGTCTCATACAGGTGACTTTTTAAAGGAGCACAGTACTTACCGGTGATATTCGTTATATTGTGAGCCAATTTGTTATTTAGCTATAAGATGACCTCAGGGGTTAGTTTCTGTTCAAGGTTTGAAGAGTATCTCAGAGCAATAGTCTCAGGGTGTCCTCCATTCTAAACCAGTCCAGTATGTCTGTTTTTTTTGTTTTGTTGTTAGGAATGTGAGGTTCTGTTACACATTTTTCTCCCATTCTATCAGGGTCCATCTATTATGGCCCTAATTAGAAGGGTCAGTAGTGGTAACTGGGAACATCCAGTTCTTCTGGTCTCAGGATAGATGAGGCCAGGATTGGTGTAGACTATTTGTCCTGTAGACTAGTTTCTTATTTGAGTCTTTGGTTTCCTTCTTTCTCTTTTGCTCCAGACAAGTAGAGATGAATAGCTGTATCTTAGATGGCCATTTGCAAACTTTTAAGACCCTAGACACTACTCATTACACTCAAATGTATGAATTACATTATGCCAATTGACCAAGATGTCCCCTGAGACTATGATCCTAATCTTTCACACCCAGAAATCCAATTCCACAAGGTGTTTGGTTACGTCTAAGAATATCTGTAACTGTGCCCCTATATACTTTTATATATGAATATATGTGCATACAGTCACACAGATGCATATGCATATACATGTGCATCACCTACATACATCACCTATATACACACTTACATACATACCTATACACATATAAGCCTACATATATACATATATGCCTATACATATATTTTTTGGTTGTTTTTGCTGTTGTTTCAAAATTATATATGCCATGGCTATTACCAACAGGTCATTTTTCCTTGTGTACTTTTTAGTGACACCATTTACATTTGTCAAGTTGTGTATACTTCACCCTCATTTGGTGCTACATTTCTCATCATCATACGAGTGTCTATTATCTAAAGAGTGAATCTCCCTCCTCCTCCATCCCTGGTAACCACAAATGAACATCAGTTTCTGTATATTCACTTGTTCATGTCAGTTCTTAGAAGTGAGAACATACAATATTTGGGTTTTTTTCACTCAACATAATGTCCTCCAGGTTCATCCATGTTCCAAGATGTTTGGGGAACTCATTTTTCCTTATTCTGAGTGGTATTCCATTATATGTATGTACCACATTTTACTTATCCATTCATCCGTTGATGGGCACTTAAGTTGTTGCCATCTTTTTGCTATTGTAAATAGTGCTGTGATGAACATAGGTGTGCATATGTCTGTTCATGTCACTTCTACTAGATCCCTAGGGTATATACCTAGGAGTGGAATTGCTGGGTCATACAGCAGCTCTACCTCTAGGTTTCTGAGGAACTGCCAGACTGTTTTCCACAATAGTTGCACAATTTTGCATTCCCATCAACAATAGATAAGGGTTCTAATTTCTCCACGTCTCTTCCAACATTTTCTTTTTTTTAATCTTGGTCATCCTAGTGGGAGTAAAATGGTATCTCTTTGTGGTTTTAATTGTCATTTCTCTGATGGCTAATGACATTGAGCATCTTTTCACGTGTCTGTTGGCCATCTGAATCTCTTTGGTGAACTGTCTGTTCATGTCCTTTGCCCAGCTTTTTTTTTTTTTTAATTGTTGTAGTCTAAATGAAGTTTACATTTCAAGTTAGTCTCCCATACAAAATTAATACATAGTTATGTGACCCTAATTGCTCACCCCATTCTGTGACAGCACACTCCTCCTTTCCGTCCCTGATCCCCATGTCCTATCCAACCAGCTCCTAACCCTCTCTGCCTTCCCATCTCACCTCTGGACAGAAGCTGCCCCTTTGGTCTCTTCTATCTCCTTGAGTTAAGAGGCACACTCCTCACGAGTATCATTTTATGTCCCACAGTCCAGTCCAATCTCTGTCTGAAGAGCTGGCCTAGGAAATTGTTTTAGTTCTGGGCTGATAGGGAATCCAGGGCCCATGCTTTCTGGGGTACCTCCAGTCTGAGTCAGACCATTAAGTCTGGTCTTCTTACTAGAATTTGAGTTCTGTACCCCATCTTCCTGCTGGTCCATCAGGGATTCTCTATTGTGTTCCCTGTCAGGGCAGTCATTGGTGGTAGCCAGGCACCATCTAGTTCTTCCGGTCTCAGGCTGATGAAGTCTCTGGTTTGTGAGGCCCTTTCTGTCTCTTATCCTTTGCCCAGTTTTTGACTAGGTTGTCTTTTTGCTCTTAAGTTGTAGACGTTTTTTATATATTGTAGATTTTAGACCCTTATCAGTTGTATCATTCCCAAAGATTTTCTTCCCAGTATGTAGGTTGTCTCTCTATTCTTTTGATAAAGTCTTTTTTAATATATACTTTATTACTTTTTAGGTGAAAAATTTACACCACAAATTAGGTTCCCATTTAACAAGTTTTATATAAATTGTTCCGTGACATTGATTACAATTTTCATAATGTCTCAGCATTCTCATCATTTCCATTCTGTTTGTTCTGTTTCCACTGATTTAGCTTCTCTTCCCCTCCCTGCCTTCTCATCTTTGCTTCTGGGTAAATGTTGACCATTTGATCTCATACAGTTGTTTTTTGTTTTGTTTTTTTAAATATTTTATTGTACTTCAGGTGAAGGCTTACAGAACAGATAGTTTCTCATGTAACAGTAACACACATGCTGTTTTATGACATTGGT